ATCTACCAGTTCACAATCAACAGAAACAACCAATACTTCTCTATTAGATTCAAATCCTATTCAAACACCTATCCAACCAGATAACGTTGAAATGAATATTCACAGCCAAAATCAACCTCCTACGTCCTCTGACAGTCAATCGTCTAAACGAACGGTATCAGAAATAACGTCTCCTCCAACATCAGTAGACCAGAACCCATTTAAAGAACCTCTCCGTAAATCTAAGAAAGCAAAAACTGTTCCTGAAGTTAATAAGGATTTAGCAGAAGATCTTACTAAATGCACTAGTTCTTTTTTCCAAGATAATTCTGATAACGGATATCTAACCCAGGAAGAATTAATTGATTTCTTCGAAAACGCACACGGCTCTGCTGATCCTCTCAGCATTGCTAAAACGTATACAGAAGATATCGAAGGACTACTCAATTTTTTAACTAAAATCCATCCAGCATTAACTCCCAAGTATCTGAAAAGTCGCTGTACAAGAATAAAATCTAAAATTAATAAACAGGTATTATCCTCTTTCTCTACTGATCACAGTGATCACAGCAGCGACGCCTCTGCTGAAATTTAATACAACAACATTCAACTGTATACTTCAATGGAACCTAAATGGGTATTACACCCATTTAGAAGAACTTAAATTAATTATAGCTAAATTTAAACCATCTGTAATATGCCTACAAGAAACCCACTTCAAAGAAGATAACTGTCATAATTTAAGAAACTATACTCCGTATTATAAGAACAGAATAACTGCTAGCCATGCTAGTGGGGAGTAGTAATATATGTCCATAACTCATTTAATACCGAAGTAATACGTTTAAGAACTGAGTTGGAGGCAACAGCAGTATCTATAAAAGGCCCCCACAAAGTTAATATATATAATATTTATTTTCCTCCGGACTTAGACCCGTCCATAAATGAAATAACTGATCTCTTTAATCAAATTCCAGAACCGCGTATTATATTAGGTGATTTTAATGCTCACAATATACTTTGGGGAGGCAAAAAAACAGATTCCTTGGGACGTAAAATCGAACAAATTGTTACCGATTCTAATATGAATATCCTTAACGATGGAAGAATCACAAGGTTCAATATTTCCACCGGAAATGGGTCACCAATAGATTTATCCCTTTGTGACTCTGTCTTACAACCAACTCTGTCGTGGGATGTGACATCTCATTTGCATGGAAGTGATCATTTTCCTATCCTAATTATAAACAATAACCATATCTCCTCATCAGTTCCATCCAATAAATGGTGTTTGAAAAATGCAGATTGGTCTCTTTATTCCTCTTTAATTTCACAAAAAATTTCTCAGTTGGTTCAGCCCTTCGATACAGATATTGATATCAACTCCAAGGTACTCCATTTCGTACAGTTTTTAACGTCAATAGCTCACGAGTCCATAGGTTATTCAAAATTTCCAAAAAAAAAACGTGCCCCAGTCCCGTGGTGGAATTCTCATTGCGAGGCAGCCATTAAAGATTCAAAAAAGGCATTTTATAAATTTAGAAGGCACCCAACTTTAAATAACCAGCTTGAATTCAAAAGATTAAGGGCGTACTGTAGATACACCTTAAAAAAGAGTAAGAAAGAAGCTTGGAAAAACTATGTATCATCTTTAAATTCATCTACCTCGACTTCTGAGGTTTGGCAAATGATAAGCAGAATGTACGGGAAAAAATCATTTAACACCATTTATTACCTAGAACATGATAACCATATTTATTCAACTAAGCATGAAATAGCCTCCGTACTAGCAAACGTATACCAACAACATAGCAGTGACGAAAATCTATCTACAATTTTCCTAGTCCATAAAAATAAACTTAATAATGCCTGTATAAATCTTGATGACCACAATAATTTACCTCTAAATGTTACATTTACGATGGATGAACTGTTAGAAACGTTAAACAAAGTTAAAGACACTAGCCCAGGGCCTGACAACATACCTACGACATTTTTAAAAGCTATGCCAACGGAAGGCAAACAATATCTTTTGGCTCTCTATAATTTCATTTGGACAAATAATGTTTTCCCAATTGATTGGTATGATTCCATTATTGTACCAGTTCTTAAACAAGGCAAGAATAAATCGGACCCAGAGTCTTACCGACCAATCTCTCTAACTTCTACTATGTGTAAAGTACTTGAAAAAATGGTAAGCAACCGACTAACGTGGTACCTAGAAAATCGACAGCTACTTAGCCCCATACAAAGTGGATTTAGAAAGTCCAGATCTACATTAGACAACATAGTGGATATTGAATCCGTAATTCATGAGTCATTTGGATGTGGTCAAGTATGTCTGGCTGTATTTTTTGATATAACGCGGGCATATGATACAATTTGGAGATCAGATATCATAAAAATTCTGTCAAGTTGGTCGATTAAAGGAAATATTATCAAATTTATTAATAATTTTTTATATAGGCGAAACTTCAAAGTTCGAATAGACAACTTCCTTTCAGACTCCAAAATCCAATTAAATGGTATTCCTCAAGGGTCTACTCTTAGTGTTGTACTTTTCCTTATTGCCATCAATGACATCGCTAAGTCACTTAGCCCATTAGTCAAACCCCGTCTATTTGCTGATGATCTTGTTATATTCTGTCGTGGTAAAAATATATCAACAATGACGACCCATATACAGCAAGCCATTTACAAATTAGAGAACTGGTCTAATACTACTGGCCTAGAATTTTCACCCACTAAAACGAAAGCAATGATTTTCAGTAAAACTCCAAAGAAATACATAAATCCACCGAAACTCTACCTAAAAAATTTACCAATAAAGTATTCAGAATCGATTAACTTCTTGGGAGTAAAACTGGATAACCGACTATCTTGGCAAGACCACATCCACTCCCTCCGTCTGTCAGTTCAAAACGGCCTTAACTTAATGAAAAGTATCTCTCATAAACAATGGGGTGCCGATTTCCAAACTCTTATGACTATATACAAAACCCTAATCCGTTCAAAACTAGATTATGCTGCTGTTGCCTATAACTCAGCCAAAGGTTCACTATTAAAAGTGCTAGATACGGTTCATAATTCATCAATTAGAATTGCACTGGGAGCACACTACACAAGCTCAGTTGAAGGTATGTATATTGAATCAGGCGAACCATCCCTTCAACTTAGGAGAGAATACCTTAGCCTCATGTATGCCTCTAAAGTATCAACTAACCCACAGCTACCTGTTTATAAAAACACATTTACAGATAGATTTCCATCGACATTTAATAGGGGAAAAAGATTGGATCCTCCGTTTTATCATCGAGTTAGAGCAACGCTACAAAGCTTAGACACAATAATTCCACCCACTTACAATATTTTTAAAGTCAGTCAAAGCATGCTACTATGGACAATTGTTCTCCCTGATTGTAATACAAACCTATCTGCATTCAAGAAATGTGTCACACCAGCAAAAATCTTCAATCAGAAATTATTAGAGATATTAAATTATTTTAATAATCACATTCATATTTATACCGATGCATCCAGATCTGCAAATGGAGTAGGAGCGGCTTTCACAACAGATAACTATAACAGTTCCTACCAGCTCCCTCCCCAAACTTCCATATTTTCAGCTGAACTCTTTGCTATCCTCCAGTCATTAAAATTTGTTAACACACATGACATTAAATTCTCAATAATCATTAGCGACTCCCTAAGTGCATTAACAGCCTTAAAGCAAATATACCCCAAACATCCTGTCCTGCTTTTAATTAAGTCGGAACTCTTGATATGCCAACAAAATCAAAGATTAGTTCAGTTCCTCTGGGTAGCTTCACATTGCGAGATAACTGGAAACGATAAAGCTGACATATTAGCAAAAAAATGCGAGTGAGCATCCATTAACAGACATCATAACTACTTGCGTTCATACTGATCTAAAGCAATATTTTAAGAACAAGATCATGACAAAGTGGCAAACAAATTGGAATAAATCAACCTCTGCATTAAGAAAAATCAAATAAAATGTATTGCCGTCGAAACATCCTACTAAGAGAAGAGACCAAGTGCTCATGTCCAGATTACGACTTGGTCATACGAAGATCACCCATGACTTTATATTAAAGAAGGAAGCCCCTCCAATGTGTTATGTGTGTGATAGTGAACTAACAGTGCAACATATAATAATAGACTGTCCCCTCTACGTTATAGAACGACAACATCAACAGTTACCAACTACATTTAAAGATTGTTTAAGTGAAAATAATTCATCTAAGACTCTCAATTTTTTACGTACTATAGGACTCATTAACCAAATTTAATATAAGCTTTGTAATTTGATATCAATACTGTTCATTGCTAATAACCCTTTTGTGGTTGAAGCAAATTGTAAATAAAAAAAAAATACTCGTATTTGTTGCCAAAACTTAAAATCCAAATTTCATGTTTTAGTTTTTGAAGGATGGTCTCTTACAATGGAAATTGCACTACGATAAATTAATAAAAGTGATACATTTTATTAATCTCACATGAATCATAACAAATGCAAGCATCACGCAAGGTTTATTTATTAAACAGATTGACAGAAACCGACCATTTGTGGCAAAATGCAAAAACTGTAAACAAAAATTACGCTCTTCACGTTTAAAATTATTGTGGATAGGACACTCTGATCAAAAGATATTGAATTTTACCGTCGAGTTAATACAAATTTTTTGAGGCCGGTCGCTTCAAGCGTTATTTCTGAGAAAACGGTTCATTCTTTACAAAAAGTGTTAAAAAACATTTTTGTTTAAAATTATCTCAGCTATCCTTCTTGGTAAATTGGTTTTTATACGTTTTTACCCCCCTACGAGTGGCGATTAATGAAGAAGCCCGGGGTAAAAGTGGTAAACCTTTTTGCAAGACTAAGAGCTTGTTTGTAAGATTTTTAGGGGTCGACGACTGACTAAAAGAACTGTATGTGAAAATAATGACTACTTATATCGGAATTAAGTCCAATTTATTTTTACTAGTGTTTAAGGATACAATCTTAATCTTAAATGAAAAATAAAACATATTGTAAAAAATTTAAATATTTATGATTTATTATTATTCTATTTTTAAGTTAGGAGTTTGAACATTCATCTTCAGAACGATTTGTATTTATTACTTCGTTATTGTTGAATTGGTTAGTTTGTGATCGAAGGAGATTAGTTATATCCTTTAAACCGTCCATTACAATTTGATGATTTTTCTCTTGATTGGATTTTATTTCCGTCAGCAACTGTATTTTTATTCTATCAGCAGATAAACAATTTTTTAATGACATAAAGCTACTCTGGTTGATATTTTCTTCATCTTTGCTTTCGTCCTTTTCTTCACCCTCCAAAACACTTTCGTCTATATCCATTTCCAGTTTTAAGTCTTGCACTTCGTTTTCTTTAAACCATTTGTTCATGTAATCAAAATAAGGCCAAGTTATATTTTCCTTTGTCTCATTTTTGGCGAGTTGTTTATAGCGCTGTACCAAGTTTTGCCAGCACTTACTTAATTGGTCAATAGAGTATTTTCCTTGACATTGTAAAAGAGATTGAATAATTCTAAAAATAAACAAGTAATATTATAAATTATTAATATTTATTATTAATCCATAGTTGTAATATACGCGATAAAAATGTTTTACGAATTATACAGATGACGACATTGTTTTGCTGGCCATAGGAATTAAGATTTATTGCAATTCCAACTCTATAGTATATTTGTTATAATGCTGTAAAATTATTTTTTTTTTGTTATTTTTTAGCCTTAATAGCAATACAAATAAATAAGTAAATAAGTAATAATGCTTTATTGTCACTGAGAATTGTACACATTTTATGGACAAAGCTTATAACAATAAGATAAGAAAGAAGAAAACACATCAGAATAAGAATCGTTTGTACTTTTAAATAAAAAAAAAAACAATAAAATTCTTTCAAACTTAAACACAAAAAGTACTACCTAATTAAGAACCTACAAACTTCCTAAAATGTACCTAGCAAAAAATAAAAATTAGGAAAGCTCATGGAATGAATTAAGGGCTCAAATATTCCACCTCGTTTTGTTAAATAGTACCCAAATATGTTATACAGATTTCTCATATTTTGGAGTAGGGCTGGTGCAATGCTTGCAGAGAAATGAAGTATTTTTGTCTTTAATTCGAATAGGTTTTAGATAGTGATTTTATAGTGTGAAAATATCACGACTTAAAGTGGAAAGCACCTATAGACCTTTTTAAAAAACAAAAATGAAGGCGTTTTGTACTTTTAACATAATGCGTTTTATTTTCTTTTTGAAGTCATACTTCTATACGCACGGTCGGCGTTGGAAATTTGCATGAGAGTGAATCTGTGAAACCATTACATATGTAAGATAATGAGTAAGAGAGAGACAGAAGATATATTTTCTCTCTCTCTTCCCCTCTCGAGAATAAAAATGTGCTTTTGTATATATATTTAATATTATATATTTTATATATATATATATATATATATATATATATATATATATTGAGATAATATTAAATAAATTTAGCAGAAACGAAGGTAATCTAAATTGAACTTAAATAGTGATTAAAGAAATAATTTATATACTAGAGAATATTATAAAGTATTTATATTAAGAAATTAGCATAATAATAAGTTTAAAAAGTTTTTTTAATAGTTATCATATTATAGATGTATTTGGGTGCACCCATGTGCACCCATTGGTGCCTATGTGCATAGGCAACCAAATATACACTATATTATAACATAAAAGTGAATTTGAACAGAAAGTAGACATTTAAGATGATAATTAAGGATTTAAAATAGTGTTATTTATTAATTTAAGATGTTTAATTTACATATAACTTTACATTCTGATCTGAAAAGCCTAAATGTCTATAAAATTCTCCATAGAAAAGTTAAGAATTATGTGGATTATTCAAATAAGACGTCAATATAAGGAAGTTAACCTTATTTGCGTAGTAGAATATTCGAGAACATTCACAGGAAATGGAAGGATTCGAATATGATTTCTTTCAAGATGATTCTGGAACATTGAAATGATATAAATATTCTGGAATTTGGAGGATAGAGGACAGTAGGACAGTATGGAGTTAATTCATGAAGCAGTCAATCATTCAGTTAGTCGGTCAGTAAATAGTACAAGCAGTTCATTTGTAGATAGTATACAGTGGTCAGAATTAGAGTTTTAATTATGCAGTACAGTATGCAATATTCAGTGATTCAAAGTTTTATAGTATTAAATGTGTATTACATGGACATTGAAAAAAATTGTATTAGGAGAGTATTAATTGGAAATTAAAAATTGTATGTATATGGAGATTAGAAGAAATTAAAATTATAATATTTATATGGTGGTTGGAGATCTTAAGAAGAAAAAATAAGATTATAAGAAAGTAGATTATTAAAAAGAAGAATAAACAAGAAAGAAGAATATTTTGCCCATTTATAAATACTATTAAGAAGAAAATATTTTAAACTGGTGGAAGCTGATAATTAAAACATTGTGGTGTATTTTAAAAAAGCAATTTCACAAAAACAAGGATAACCGAGACTGATAACGAAGATATTGAGTGGTGATTAAACCCTTAATTATGGAAAACAGTTTCATTTAGGCATTCAGTGACAGAAAGGTACCAAATTTTGTTAATATAATTTAATTATTGTAAGAATTTCAATTTTAAGATAGGTTGTTTTAAATTTATATTGTCTATATTAGATATATATGTGTGTATAAGAATTATAATAAAGATAATTTAAAAAGTACTTACAAACTAATATCTGAGAACCTCGATAAAAACCCTATACTCATATATGTTATTTTAAAATACTCATTGCTCATACACAAACAAAACATCATAGCAATATATATATATATATATATATATATATATATATATATATATATATATACAGGGTGGTGAATCGTCAAACGGGCCATAGGAAACTCAATGGAAAATTCTAAATTGTTGAATTCCTGCTTCCCTAATTATTTTAGACCAAAAGTCATGGGAAATTATTTGTAGAGGACTCAAATATGTATCGAAAACAAGTGTTAAAATTGTTCTACGATTTAAACTTATTCCAAAATATTGCTAAAATATAATACATTTTTTAGGCCACCCCTAAAAGTCAGGCCAGACGCCGTGAAAAAATGTGTATTACGTGTTGCGTTTTGTCATATCGATGTTTCTGATATTTGGCAATATTTAAATCAACTATATTATATTTATCTATGATTTAAATGGCCAAAATTTTGTGATTTATTGTTTAAAAAAAAATTAAGTTTTTTTAAAGAGCAATAATAAAAATCTTTTATTCATGTTTTATTATAACATTTGTTATGGTTATATGTTTTGAAATTATCATAAATTATTTTTAGGAATAAAGATCACAGTAACAGTATATTGGAATTCATTGAATTGTATAACTTAACATGGAATTAAATTTTAGTGTATTAGAATATCTTACGTTAAATAAAGATCCGGTAGTGGCAGGAAGAGGTTCGCGCTATTGCCTGAATACAACATTATGCGATTTTTCGTCAACTGAGTACATTTCATTATATTGATCGATTTGTAAACAATATAATTTATTGTTCACAAAGTAATATTTGTTGTTCAGTAGTAGTAGTATTTAGTAAAATCCATTGTTTATAATTTAATCATAAATTAAAAAATTGACAATTCAAATTGTCAAGCATCTGACATCAATATGATAAAACACATACGTCCTAATATATATTCTTGCATTACCTGTGGCCTTTCTTTTAGGGATGGCCTGAAAAATGTATTATATTTTTACAAAATTTTTTTGGTAATATTCTTAGTATGTCTAAATAATTTTTCTGTTAACAATTATATTTTACATCACCCTGTATATTTTTAATGTGTAATTTTATTGTGTTTTAATTGTTTCGTTGTTTTTGTTTGCTCTGTTTTTATATTTTTACATTTAATTACTAGTGACCTAGGTACTTTTAACAAAAACTGTCAGTACTGTTTTGAACAAATTATGTTCAACTTGTTTAAATACTTTCCACTCTAAATCTGTAAGTGAGTCACTTTTTATTCAAACTGATTTTTATATAGCTTTTATTCAAATTTTTAGTTGTCTCCTGATGAAGCTGACAAAAAATCAGCGAAATATAGAGGATTAAAAGAAAAAAGAGTTTTTTTTTTTAATAATAACAGACCGCATACCCGATATTCCAACACAATAAATTGTTTTTTACGTTTCGGTCGATAATCTTACCAGTTTTGCTATATATATATATATATATATATATATATATAATATATATATATATATATATATATATATATATATATATATCGGAAAAAGGAGTACGACCGTCAATCCAATATATATATATATATATATATATATAAGGATCACTCAGACGAGTGGTGGGTTCTTATATCGGTCTCTAGGTGGAGAAATAAAAGACAAAGTTGATAGGCTACTTTATCTATTTTGAAGACGTTTCGCTTTCGAGTTTTGAAAGCATCATCAGTTCATCTAAAAAATTATTACAATATGAGAACCACACAATCATGGAAACGATGTTAATTGTTACCTTAAAAAGATATGTAGCAGTCAATGTTATTAACAAATATGTGAATGAAACTAAATTTGGGCTGGTTAGTGAGGGGAGTTGTGTTTACACTACCAACTTTTTTCACTGTTGTGTCCTTTGCAACCTGGTAGTCATCCAGACTCAGTTAAAATTAAATTAACCGCCCAAAATTTTGGGTTGGTATTTACACCTTGTTGATCTGTCAAAAGTAATTTTGACCTCAAGGTTGGCTGTCTTTTTGCGGTTTAGTTCGTTCCTGTTTCATCTAACGCCATTTTCACGGCGACATCCATAGGGCTTTGATCGGTAACTTCATATTCACTATTTTTTAGAATTTTATTAATATTACTTATAATGCTACCTAAAGTTAAAATCAAAGTTTAATATCCATTAAATAGTTGGAGGTTATTTATGATTTTCTTGGTTCTTTCTCACTTATTAGCATTAAATAACATTGAATTTATTTTGGACCACATGGTCAATTGCTGTGCTAATTTTTTTACAAGTTCATATATGTTGTTAGTTGCTTAACTGTTTATACAAGATCAGCGTACTATGTCCATTTACTTAGTTTCATTCACATATTTGTTAATAACATTGACTGCTACATATCTTTTTAAGGTAACAATTAACATCGTTTCCATGATTGTGTGGTTCTCATATTGTAATAATTTTTTTAGATGAACTGATGATGCTTTCAAAACTCGAAAGCGAAACGTCTTCAAAATAGATAAAGTAGCCTATCAACTTTGTCTTTTATTTCTCCACCTAGAGACCGATATAAGAACCCACCACTCGTCTGAGTGATCCTTATATATATATATATATATATATATATATATATATATATATATATATATATATATATATATATATTATATATATATATATATATATATATATATATATATAATAATCCGAGTTGTTGGTTTTTTATTTTTATCTTCATAAAATAAGTTATGTATATTGGCAGTTTTAAATACTTATGAATATTACATTTTAATTTATATTATAGTATTATATTGAATTACGTTGCAGTGTATTTATTGTATTGTAATTTTTATATTAATAACAAAATAAACAATGAATTTTACTGCAGAGTATGTGTAATTTTTTTGGCATTCAACTCCTTTTATAGAGCAAACGATGCTCCATATACCTATATAACCAATTCTTTTTCTCTTTCTGCTCTCTCTTACCTACAGCATTACATATGTAATGATTGTGCAGATTGACTCCTATATAAAATTTGAACGGCGAACGCATGTGAAGAAGTACAACTTCTACCGGTAGTCCCACTGGTCTGCCACACCCGTTTTTTATTTACAATCTACAGGGTGAGTTTTAAGTATGAAACGAATCAAATAATCTCGGAAACGGCTAGCAGATTTTTATAGATTTTGTTGTGTAAGAGTCTTGTGATTAAAACATAAGGAAAAATAGTAAAAATGTTGCGACTTAAAATAATTTTAGAATCTGATCAAAAGCACCTACAAACCTTTTAAAAACAAAAATTAATGCCTTTTTTGTACTTTTAAAATACTCCGTCATCGCCAGGGGATTTTTTTTTTTTTCATTTCTAAAAGTGCCGATTTGATTTCGTGTGGAGTTATTTCTGGCATTAATTCTGATCCCTGGTTGGTGATTGTGGGCAATGGTTGATCTTGCCTTTCGTCAGTGCTCTCATACATTTCGCGATAAAAGAATTTGACAACCTCAAGGACTTTGGTTCTATCAGTAGTAATGTTTCCATCTTTGTTTTTTATTTTGTAAATAATTTTGTCGCCTATATTGTTCATGTTCCGCCTCAAAATGTTTAAACTTATGTTTTCTTAAATTATTTTAATTATTTCTCTTGTATTATTTTCTCTTACGTCTTTTCAGATTAACCGGTGGATATCTTTATTTATATTCTTCATTGCTGTGTAGTTAGAGCCGTATTTTTCTGTCACCTGTCTTCTTTTACCATTTAGCTCTTTGGTATTTTGAGCCTTTTTGAGTTTTCTTTTAGTGCCTTCGTTATGCCATCATTTACTTGATGTACATCGTCTATTTCATCTTACAAGTCTTGTATACGTCTGGTTCATTCAGTTTATGTTCATACAGATACAGATGGTTGTTTTCTGGGAAATCCATTTCTTTTTCTTGTTTTTAGGATCATCTTTGTTCTTACCAATTTGACATTTAATAGTATCTTAGCTCAAATTAATCTGTGGTCGCTTCCTATTGAAAATTTGTTGAGTACTTCGATGTCTTTGATTATTTGTTTTTTGTTTGTTATGATATAATTTATTTCATTTTTGACACTGCCATCTGAGCTGAACAATATCTATTTACGCTGAGGTTTTTTATCAAAAAAAGAGTTATTACTATTTAAATGGGAAAAATCCACAATTAAAGTTTAAAATAAGTTTATTGACGTTTCAAAATCCACTTCGGAAATCGTTCTCTGAGAAATCTTTTTTCTCGTACATTTCTTTCACCATATTCATACTTACCTATTGCTACTTCTACATCGTCTGGTTTAAATTCCATTTTCGCATAAAAGTGATCAAAATTATTGTGCAATATGCTGGTGTGGCATATAACACTGTTTCTAGGTCCCCATAAAATTCTTCCTCCGAGTGGGTAGTCGTTGGAGCATATGTCTGGATTACCTTAAGGTTATATCTTGCATATAGTTTGAAGATGAGATATACAATCAGGGGCTTATGCTAATAATTTAAACTATATTTTGTGTGTGCTTTCTATGTATAATGAATCCTACTCCACCATTTAAACTATCTTCTTCACCTCTAAAATGGAATACGTGTCCTGATTTAAAAGTAATTTGGGTTTCTCCTCTTAGTCTTATTTCGCTGAGGCCAATAATATCCAATTTTATTCGTTTCAGCTCTTCCTATAGTTTCACCATCTTCTGGTCTAATATAAGAGTTCTAACAGTATATAAAGTAATATACATTTGTCGCTATTTATAGTAGCCTGATTTTTTCCGGGGATTCTTAGTACCCTCTGCTCACAAACCTGTTCCCACGCTTTCTTCATTGAGGGTGTTGTAAACTGAGGTTCGTTTAGTAGTTTCGTCTCTCATAATAAAAATCTTTTGGGGTTGGGCATGGGAATGCTTTGGGTTTGGGTAAATCTGAAGTAGATCTATTCCCTGCCGGAAACGCAGAGAAGTATCCTCCCGCTCCCCATCTAAACATCTAAATATAGGTGCATAGATATGAGCGAAAATTTATCAAAAATGTTTTAATTAATCTTTTTTGATGGGCTTTTATAAACTATGTTTTGAAGAATAGAATTATATAAAAATTATGTCAAATGCAAAACTGATAATATAAATAAAAGAGAACGCAAAAATTCAAAAAAGCATACAAATTAAAAAAAAGAAAGAAAAGCCTAAAAAGTGGTGTCAAATGACATATTTTTACATATTTTGTTTATATTTAAAAAGAAAATTTTTCTGCGTTCATTATTTAATATAAGCATTATTCTTACAAATCCGGACTCTAGTAATTATAAATATATACCATACTTTTTAGTTTCTTCTATTTTGGCAAACAATCTACCATTTTATTGTTTTAAATTTAAGAAGAAATACTTACAACCATCCATCCCTAGCAGTATATTTTCTTCCGGTAAACAAATGCCTAAGAGTACACCTCAGTTCTATCAGTTTTTTCATAAAACTTTGTCTTTCATCTGAAAAATAGCAAAGAATTAAACAAACTCATAGTTTTTTATGTATGGTTATTTGCTTACCATTGCTGATCGATTGATTCAACGACGAATCAACTACTTTGCCATCAGAGTCCGTTTCGACTTCTCTTCCGAAGGCTCTATCCATTTGTTCATAGTAAGGCCATGTGATAGTTTCAGGGTTTAACGTTGTATTTTTGATTTGCTGTAACAAAAGAATATTTGAAGTATGAAATTAAAGTATAAAGAATAAATAATACAATGCGATATTTTTCATTTTTTCTTAGGTTACATACACGTCGAACTTTATAAATCATCAAAAATATTTTGATAAATATATTTCTTTCATTAGTTGATAATTTCCCTGATTAATTCGTATATTTTTTTTTATTCTTCTAAAGATATTTCCATTTAATTTTTTGAATGACGAATTAATTAATTATTTACGAATTATTTTTTATATTACGTTTCTTTCTTACTCACAAAAACTAAATCGATGAACTTAAGAAGCCTGTCCATACTCAACAGCATACATCGAACAAAGATAGCCATAGGACAGCGTTTCCCAAACTTATTTTTCCGTGACCCGATTATTTTTGTGCTTATCCTTCGTGACCCACTTTTTTTGCATACGCGGTGTGTGTACGAAAAAACCTATTTAAACATTTATTATAGTTTTTAATAAAGAATCATTAGTTCAAAAAAATGTAATAAAACCAAATAAAAATTAAATACTTTATTAATGAGAAGTAGGCAGAAAACCAGTGCTGAAAACCCTGCCTCACACTTGTATATCGTCATAAAAGGAATAAGAACTTAATTGCTTTTTCTGCTAAAACTACGTAGTCCTGGCGGTAAGAGAGTTAAAAATACATCAGTGGTATTTTGTCAAATACGTCTTTGAATGCCTTATCACACGATAGTTCAATTACTGACTCAATATCAAAATTTGGAAGTCTTGTCTCGGATTCTACGTCTATTATAAATAGATTCTTTATCCCCTTATCCGTGCTTTGTTGCTGCCTATGGAGGGGAGGGGGAATATTCCTTCGCCGTGTAAAAGATGTTTATGTTCACTTCCCATTGCTTTACGCAAAGCAAAGAATGCTTTGAGTTCAGTGGGCGAGATTTTATGAAGTTTATAAATTTTAAACACTCTTGCATAGATTTGGTTAAAATTTGTCGAATTTTTGACACCTAATGCCTCTCCGTGGATGCTACAATGCACCTAAACACATTCTAGTGCTACGGCTTTGATCCTCGGAAAATGCCCAATACGAGCACCTGCCATTGACCGTGCTCCATCGCTACTTAGTTCCACACATTTATTCAGCATTCACATATTATTCATATTTATTCCACACATTTAGCAATCAGATTAAATATTTCTTCAGCCGTTGTTGTTGGTAATAGAGATTTACAAAATAGAGATTCTTCCTGAATAATATTTTCAAAAATCGTATCTTGCAAAACACATTAGATTAGATTTATCTTATGTGTCTGTACTTTTATCAACTTGTAAGAAAAAATAGTTACACTCCTTTAAGTGACCTATAACAGTTTCTTCAATATTATCTGCCATTTCGACAACCCTACGCTTCACTGTGTTATTTGATAGAGCCAGCGAATTCTACTATTTTCAGTGCTGGAACTATTAATTGCTAGACGATTGTTTTGTATAAAACTTAAGAGGTCCCTGGTTAAATAATATTAGAATAATAATGGAGAAAAAAATTTTTTTTCCATATTTTGACTATAAATAAAAGTAGCAAATTGTGAATAAATTACGAGAATTAACAGCTTTAACTCATTACTGTTTTCTGTTCTAAGAATATAGACTCGCCTTTTAAAATATTGATGTATTCGTAGCCAGTGGAATATCGTTGGTACCACGTCGCGACGCCAGGGAACGCCGAGGCTCGATAGGACAAGAATCGATAAAACTGGTTGCGTTCCGTTCGCTATCTCGTGATAAAGTGTTTTGAGCTGATAAAAAAAAAACCCTCTGGTCGTTTTTAGGTGGTCATGGGACAAGTGCATCCCATAAATCAACCCTATTGTAGAGCGCTTCTGAATAGCGACAATCCAATTCAATGGTCACAGTAATATGATAATTTACACGTTTTGTGTTTATTGGCGACACAAAAAGAAAAGTCAAATTCTCTTAACTTAAAACATAATCAGACTAGGCGGGATCTGTAAAAATTCAGACCATAATGGAAATTTTCCATAGGAAGCTATTTTTTGCTGGAATTCCTTCAGGATGGGCCCAATATCAATAATCACAATATGCGCTAGTGGCAAACCCTGTGCTAAATTTTTTATTTAACAAAATCTGGAAACAACTGAAAATTTCTCATTTTTTTGCTCCTATTTTCATTTATAATTCGGAAAATAGTGATCCTAAAGAAAAAATTATAAAAAGTTAAAAGTTTCGTTATTCAATTTTACACAATATGTCGTTAGCTAGAAATTAAAAATTTAATGTTTATTGTTGAAAAAATAGCAATAATTGGAAAAAAAAGTACAAAAAAGTAAGTTAATCCTTTAAATGATTTCGACTTTTTAAACTTGACTTAAAAGCTCCATATTCCGCCTAGAAAAACTTTTTAATATGTTTAAAACGTGTGCTAAATTTTTTTAAAATCGGTCGGATAGGTTTTGCATAATAATTTTGCAATCCAGCCTACTGAAAAAAAATCGTAAATTTTCAAATTTATAATAGGCCCTAAATAAGGCCCTCAGATAGTGGCTATTTTTGGTACATATAAAGGAAGACTCAAACTTCCAAACGCTTTTTGTAAAATTCAAATCGGTTCACTAGGAGAGCCTAGAAAGTTTTAAACATTTTTTAGGCTTATAAACAAATTGAATAACTTTCCGAGCTTTAAACATATCATTTTCGAATCAAAATATATTTCAAATCAAATAATGTCATTATTATGATAAAACTGCAGACATTAAGTATTTTAAAAAGTTTGATTTTTGCAAAAAAAAAATTTTCGTTCGCCTTTGGTTTAACAATTCAAATTATTACTGTTATTAAATATTGTTACTTTTAGTAAACAAATATGTATTTATAAATTGTTAATAAATAATTTGAATTGTTAAAACAATGGCGAACGATTTTTTTTGTTTTTTTTTTTGTAAAAATCAAACTTTTTAAAATAATTAATTTCTGCAGTTTTATCATAATAATGACATTATTTGATTTGAGAATGTATTTTGATTCGAAAATGATATGTTTAAAGCTCGTAAAGTTATTCAATTTGTTTATAAGTTTAAAAAATGTTTAAAATTAAAAAAAAAATCTAGGCTCTCCTAGTAAACCGATTTGAATTTTACAAAAAGCGTTTGAAAGTTTGAGCCTTCCTTTATACGTAAAAGAATTTGCAACTATCTGAGGGCCTTATTTAGGGCCTACTATAAATTTGAAAATTTGCGATTTTTTTCCAGTAGGCTGGATTGCACAATTATTATGCAAAACCTATCCGACCGATCTTAACAGAATTTAGCACACCTTTTAAACATATCAAAAAGTTTTTCAAGGCGGAATATGAAGCTTGTAAGTCAGGTTTAGAAAGTCAAAAACATTTAAAGGATTAACTTCATTTTTTTGTACTTTTGTTCCAATTATTGCTGTTTTTTTTTAACAATAAACAAAAAATTTTCAATTTCTAGCTAACGAAATATTGTGTAAAATTAAATTACGTAACTTTTAACTTCTTATAATTTTTTTTCTAGGATCAATATTTTCCGAATTATAAACGAAAATAGGAGCAAAAAAATTGGAAATTTTCAATTTTTTTTAGATTTTGTTAAATAAAAAATTTAGCACAGGGTTTTCGACTAGCGCATATCGTGATTATCGATATTGGGAGCATCCTAAAGGGATTCCAGCAAAAAAATAGCTTCCTATGGAAAATGTTCAATCCAAAACAGATCCCGTCTAGACTAAATAAATGTGCTAGCCAGTTTAATAATGCGATTTTACTGAATAAGAGGACATAGTATATTATTAAGCAAATAAGTTAGGATATCCTATTAAATTAGATCATATTATAGATCACTAAAGGAATGTAAAATGTAAAATATAAAAATAAATACTACATACTTTTCCAAACAGCATTTGTGTTAGGATAACCGATTTCAGTAATTAATTTTATATTTTATTAATAACGGATAATATTAATAACGGATAAGTATCTTTTTCTAATTTTAGGCCTCTGTTTTTTACTTGTTTTCTTTTGTTTAGCAGATACTTTCTTTCTTAAAATAAAGCTGAACACATTTTAACTTTTTTTACTGTATATATGTACCTATATTACCTTATTTCCTCCTACATACCTATTTTTATTAATGCCACGCTGTAATCAGAGATTTTGCTGAGATCGTTTCTTTCTGAATACTCAGCTTTATTTCTGATCAGGCTTTTCTTTTGGGAGAAAACCGATCTTTGTCTGAATTTTCTAGCCACTACTGTGGGGAGCAAGAAAACAGTCAACCACAATACCTTGGGCAACAATCAGCAGCCACCTACAAATCCACTGACGCATCAGAACAGAATTTCAAACCCATTTACCAACATGGGACAAAAATGATTGCCATTATATAGACCAGCAACTCCCCTTAACTCAACCAACAACCACCGATAGCGGCTAACTTCCACAAAGATCGGAATCCTTTCTGAAGAACTGAACGACTCATTCAGAACGAACTAAAGCTAAGTACTTTTATTATACTTTAGTTATTTTATACCGGCAACCGGCATAATTTTTGAGTCTCAGTTAAATTTATTTTTGTTTCACGATTATAATTTGAATTATATTTATTTTTTATTTAATAAATGAATATACCTTTATTATGAAGTATTTTTATTTCCTGCACCTTTCTGGGATTGGTGTAGAGAAAGAATGAACAGGGAACGAACCCAAGGCTAAGCAGTCGGGCAGAGCACCATTTTTCTCCTGAATATCCTTCGAAGAAGGGATATTCGAAGAATCTCTCATCTCGTTTCATCCAGCAGTATGGTGCTGCTTAACGTCCTGGTCTTAAAAAGATTATGACGTTACAGAATTTATTTATTAGCTAATGAAGAATAATATAGAACCTAATCATTCTAACATCTAAATCAACATTTAGATATTTAAATATGTCTAAAACCACGTCTAGACCTGACCAAACAAAAGAGGGTAGTAAATGAAT